ATTCATCGGTATTGTTTTTAGCTATTTTTAGACGTTTTTAGACTTTTTTTTCTCACAAATGAATTTTGTCAGATTTTTTTTTAGATATAAACTCAGAATTCTGAGAAAAACAACTTTAAATTGTGATATGTACACTCAAAATTGCAAGAAAAAGTCAGGACTCTTGAGTTAATATTTCTCAGTTCTGACTTTATTTCTGAATTTAAGTCCGAATTGTGAGATAAAAGTCGTTATTACCTTTTATATTTTATTATCCCATTATGGAAAGAGATTTATTTCTCTCAGTTTGATTTCTGAGAAAAAAAGTCAGAATCATGCGATATGTTAACTCAGAATTGCAAGAAAAAAAGTCACAATTTTAGTTTATATTTCTCAATTCTGAATGTATTTACGAATTTAAGTCTGAAGCAGGCTTCCATAATTCTTTTTTATCTTGTGGTGGAAATGGGCTTCCAGAATTAATATAGTATTTTTTTGTTAAATTATTACATATAAAAATAGTAAATATGGCTGTTTATAATTGTTTTTGAGTCATATAATCGTAACATAAATTTATTGTAAATTTCTGTGTATTTAAATGTTAAGTAGTAGTAGCTAAGAAGTAGTAGTAATTGATAATAGATGGCAATATAATAAATTTATGAAAATCTGTTATTGTCGTTTACATTTTTTTAGATATTTTGTTATAGTAAATAAATATATTAATGTGTATTAAATATATTATTGTTACAGTGGGGGAAATATTTATTTGATCCCCTGCTGATTTTGTAAGTTTGCCCACTTACAAAAAAATTAAGGGTCTGTAATTTTTATGGTAGGTTTATTTTAACGACAGAATGCCAACCAAAAAATCCAGAGAAACACATTATATAAAGGTTAGAAATTGATTTGCATTTCACTGAGTGAAATAAGTATTTGATCCCCAAGCAAAACATGACTTAGTACTTGGTGCAGAAACCATTGTTGGCAAGCACAGAGGTAAGACGCTTCTAGTAGTTGGTCACCAGGTTTGCACACATCTCAGGAGGGATTTTGATCCACTCCTCTTTACAGATCCTCTCTAAATCCTCAAGGTTTCTTGGCTGTCGTTTGGCAACTCGAAGTTCCAGCTCCCTCCACAGATTTTCTATAGGATTGAGGTCTGGAGGCTGGCTAGGCCCCTCCATGACCTTAATGTGCTGCTTCTTGAGCCACTTCTTTGTTGCCTTGGTGGTATGTTTCGGGTCATGTGTTCTGTCGTTAAAATAAACCTACCATAAAAATTACAGACCATTTCTTTGTAAGTGGGCAAACTTACAAAATCAGCAGGGGATCAAATAAATATTTTCCCCACTGTATAGTAATATATTTTAATTCTGTATAAATAAAAATTCATATATGTTAAATTATCATTATATATATTTTTTCTTTACATTGTTGCTTTCATGTAGCTCAAACAATAGATGGCACTCACAAAGTCAAGGTCATGGGTTCGATTCATAGGGAATGACTGCATCGGATATTACTTTACACAGCCAGTGTTAGCAGTTCTTTCACATTCGGTCAACAGGTTTAATCTTCTTGTGGCTATGCTGTCGAAATAGTGTGTACATTATTTTTGGCATTTATAGTACAGCGTTTTTCTCCACAGACTTCTACTGTAAGTGCATTATATGTTTATTTGTAAAACACTTTTCACAATCCATGCTATTTCGAAGCAGCTTTGCAGAAAATCTCGCCTTATTGTCTTGAAACCTCGAGTGAGCAGCCAAAAGGGAATGGGCTAAACAAAAAAGATGTTTATTTTCGAAGAAAGATTATGAATGCAAGCCATTTTTTCTTTCTTTTAATGAGATCCAGAATGTGTATTAAGACAGTAAATGGGGTCAAATTCATGATGTGTTCAACTTGAAACGTTCCTCAGTGATTTCCAGCGGTGACGTCATTGGACTCCGCTGCGGGAAAGCTTTGGGCATCTGCTCACGAGTTGAGAGAGATTGATGGAGAGCGAGAGAATGAGGGATGCTCGGTGTTGAGTAAGCATTGGTTGGCATTCGCTCTCAATTTCTCTCTGCTATTTAAAACATGGCTGCATCTCTTGTGATGATTCATTCCCTACTGATCACTATAAGAAATGAGAGAGAGAGAGAGAGAGAGAGAGAGATACTGTATGTCTTGACGGCTCTGCTTGTGTGTTGACACACAGCGGCCATCATATGATTCAAAATCTCTGCTCACTGGGGTTTAAAGAGGTCATATCATGGTAAACTGGCCTTTTCTTGCTCTATTGAAATTTGATGCACAATATTTTTTGTACTAATCCTTAAAGGGGTCATATGATGCTTTTTTAAAGATCATTATTTTGTGTATTTGGTGTAACAGAATATGTTGACATGCTTTAATGTTCAAAAAACACATTATTTTTCAAATACTGTACATACTGTACGGTCCTCTATGCCCCGCCTCTCTCAAACGCTTCGTTTTCTACAAAGCCCCCTCCTT